GTAAATTCAACACTGATCAAATGTTTCCTTTTTCCAGACAGCGCACAATTAGCCCGTGAAACTTTTTGCTATTGGATGTCATTGAGACCAAGAAATTTGTAGGATTAGAAAAGTTGTAGAATCTCATACAAATAACATAAATAACCAAATTTAGAAAAGTAAATATTAAAAAAAAATGTTGGAAAGGAATCATAATTCTTCATGCTTACTCAAACAGGTAATTTGTGGGGGTTAGGAATCAACAGTCTCTGGGGGCATGTTATCCTAAAACTATCTATTCTTGATTTAGGGCTGGGTAGGCAGGCAGAGCTTCAGTCTCAGTGTGTGGATGAGACAATGGTGTAGAGAGGAGGGGTTTACATTTATTAGGAACTGGGGAAACTTTTGGATGGGAGAGCCTATACAGGAAGGATGGGCTCCACTTAAACCGAAATGGAACCAGACTGCTGGCACTTAACATTAAAAAGTTTGTACAGCAGTTTTTAAACTAAGGCTGGGGGAAAGCTGACGGATGCGGAGGAGCACATGGATCAGACAGAAACATCTCTTACAGGAAGGTACATTAATAGAGATGCTCTAAGTTCTAGTGAGGAGGAGAGGATAGAAGTATGGGTCGGATTAGATGAGACACAATCAAATGAAAAAGAGTCTAACACACCAGGAAATGACAGATAGATAAATAGTGACAAAATATTAAAGTGCTTATACACAAATGCTAAAAAAATGGATGAACTAGCGAGCCTAGTTTTAAAGGAGGCTATTGATATAATAGGCATCATGAAAACTTGGTGGAATGAGGACAATCAATGGGACACAGTCATACCAGTGTACAAAAATATATCGGAAGGATAGAACAGGTTGTGCTGACGGAGGAGTGGCACTATATGTGGAATCAAATGAAGTAAAAATCTTAACTGAGCCTATAAGTTCCATAGAATCTCTATGGATAATAATTCCATGCGAGGCGGTAAAATTTGCAGATGATACCAAACTGCTCGAGATAGTTAAGAGCAAAGCAGGCTGTGATGAGCTTCAAAAAGATCTCACCAAACTAAGTGATGGGACAACAAAATGGCAAATGAAATTTAATATTAATAAATGTAAAGTAATGCACACTGGAAAAAATAACCCAACTATACATACAATATGATGGGGACTAATTTAGCTACAACTACTCGAGAGAGAGATCTTGGAGTCATCGTGGATAGTTCTCTGAAAACATCCTCTCAGTGTACAGCAGCAGTCAAAAAAACAAATAGAATGTTAGGAATAATTAAAACAGGGATAGAGAATAAGACAGAGAATATCTTATTGCCTCTATATAAAACCATGATATGCCCACATCTTGAATACTGTGTATAGATGTGGTCACCTCATCTCAAAAAAGATATATTGACATTAGAAAAGGTTCAGAGAAGGGCAACAAAAAATATTAGGGGTTTGGAACGAGTCCCATATGAAGAGAGAACACTGTGATGCGATTATGCAAATGAAGTGTGGGATATTTAAATCCCCACTTCATTTGCTCTTTCCATCTACCTAATTTACATCCCTCTTTTGAAAGAGGGATGTAGTTTAGACATGCCCTTAAATGCAATGTCTGCTGCTTCTGTCATTCCTAACCATTTCCCTGTACATTTGCCACATGCATTCCCCATCTCCTTTCAAGAGTTTTGTGTCTATGTATATAAAGGAATTAAGCCTGTGTAATTGCAGCACAAATAGGAGATAACCTCAATAAATCTGTGGCATCTGGATTTGCTGGTTTCATGTTCTTCCCTGAAACCAAAGCACAAACTGGGTGATATATTCAAGCATAAAAACTGAGCCTAATAACCAACATCTGAAAAATGCTCACCCAGAAAGAATGCAACTACTGAATAGGATGAAAAATAAAACAAGTTAAGTAACTGCAGTAGTAAGGCTGTTACATTTAAGCAATTAAACAGTTATTTTTTTTTTCTTATTTAATAAATAATATAAAAAAGAACTTTTTTTTACATTACTGGAAAAACAAATTGCTTTTCTAAAATTCAGCACTTATACAAGCGGTGGAGGAAACGGGTTTAGATTTGAAACCACTTTTGAATGTAGACATTCCATATTCAGTTTAAGTGTAGGCCAGTGTGGCTGCCCTCAGAACTAGGGATGAATTTTCCTCTCCTGGGCTTGGTCTTCTGCTGCTATGGTTCCACAGATGACCTCACTGTTCATAAGCAAAAAAAGAAAGACCCCTCCCCCCCCCGCCCAAAAGCCCAAACTTGATTTCTTGTTTAACACTGCAGGTCAGAAAAAATGTGATAAATTTAAATAATTGAGATCAAATTATATTACTCCCTAGATGGTATAACCGTACACCTGTTAAAGCAAGTTTGTCATAGGAGCAGTAACATGACATTTCATCTTGTTTGAAATGTTATAGAAAGAAATTGAGACAAAATATTTAAGGGCTTACACACACTGGACAAAACACGTGCACGTGGTTTACATTTCACTTTTATTTATTCCTTGAAACCGCCTGTATTGCAGATTTTTTTGATGAAATATGGAACCGAGCAATTCAAATTTTCTACAAAACTGTGGTAAAATCTTGCTCATTTTTCTACCTTATTGCTAAGAAATTTTACAGGTGCACAGTTTGTAAAATATAACCCTTAAAGGACTGAATGCATATACTTGCTGCAAGGTTCAAGAAACAAACTAAAACTAAGCATAGCACCTACATCTGGACAAATGCAGTACTGACTGTAGGCAAATGTTTACAAACTTGGAACTATTCATTATGTAATTTTATGAAGGAGAAACAGTTCAGTCCTAAAAGGGTTAAGTAGTAACCCTAACATATTACTGTTTCTAACAAAGCTGCCACTCAACCCCACAGTACAGTGCTTGAAAACAAAGTCAAACGTCTGGCACAGGAACATACACACATTTTTTCAGTACTCTTCATAAACACAGCTGCTTTTGAAAGTAAATGTAAATAAAATGGTTAATAATTAAGAGTATTTTGTTTCAAAATTGACACCTCTACAGTTATTTGGTTTAAAGTGGGTAACTTCCTTGTTTCACTTGTGTCAGATTTGTATTAAAATATTGTAGGGATGGGGTATATACGGTTGTATTTATTTAGGTTCATGACTTTCAGGTGGCCAGTATGATATCTTGTAAAACTGCGTAATGAAGACAGAAGTGAAATAGTGTATCGCAGAATTAAGAAAAAGACAGATGCGAGGAGCCCTCAGACAAAATAATTAGGAAAATGTCAGCAGCAGGTTATATTACACTAGTGTTGAATTCTGAAGTGCAGTTCTAAACAAAAACAACATAGGTAGCTTTGAGCATTTAACTTGCTTCCTCATCCTATTAGTTGGAACTATAAAAACATTTGAACAGACTCAACTTCTATGTATACTTTTAGAAATAATAAGAATAAGACAATACTTAACAGCTATAATAGAAGAGTTCTGTAGTTTCATATTGAAACATTCTATAAGTAGTTTAATAGAAATGTTTAGCATTCTTGGGATATTGTTAGTATCATGAAAGTTGATCAACAGCTCTTGACGCCATAAAAAGTAACAAAGCTGCTCACAGGAGAGTTCAAGAAAATAAGTTATTTGAACTTAAATTACAACTGAGCATCTTTCTTAGTGACAGTGTGGATCTGGAAGACAATTCCTGTGTTACTAATTATCCATTAAAGACAATGGAGCCACAAGTCCAGGAAAAGGCCAACAATAAGAACTCTGAAAACTGTACATGAGCAAATATTGCTGAAATGGAATTTAATATGCTTTTTCATCCAGTAGCCTGTGGTATGTAGAGTGGCAGAAATTAAATATCCAGGAATTTTGTGTATAGTCCATTGGAAAAACTTATTGCAAGGAAAGAAACTGAATACAAAAGTCTATTGCATTTACATGTAAAAAGATTTTAAAATAATGTATATAAAAGCAGGTGCCTCTTATGTTTTGAAAAGCTATTTAAAATATTCCTTGAAAGTTAAAAAGCTTGTTATGGTTTTACCTGCAATGTAGGTAATGGTTTGTTCTTTACTATTATTGTAAAACCTTTGCTAACCACTTTCTTTAATCCTCAAGCTAGTAAGGGAAGAAAACCTGAGGCCCATAAGTTAAACAGTACTGTATAAAACATACTTCTAGCAAAAACATTGTGAAATGATTTCTGTCAACACAACTGAGAAAAATTTAAATAGCACACAGACAAGTAAACAGATTTGCAAATAAATGCCAGTAAACAGCTTCAAACAGAGATAAGGCCACAATGAAGTCTGCCCTTGGTCACTGAAACAGAGATGAGGCAGTATTTGTAACAATGTTGAAAGGAAGGATGCATATAAAAGAGCAATTAGGAAGGCTTGTGGTAGAATACAAGCACATTTTAAAAGGACAGTGGTACGGATTTAACAGCTAAATGAATCTGTTTTGCATTGGATTTCTTCCTTTAACCACATTGTCTTCAGTCTTCAATGAATGCAAGAACAGCATGTTCAAAGGAGCAGCTGAGACAAACACACAGAGCATAGTGTCAGAGAAGACAGACATTAAAGAGAAGCAATGCTTTAAAATGGGGCTGGTGCTGAAATTGAATACTCCTAAAATGGCCAGTGGAAACCTTTTAAAATAGCCAATGGGTAAGCCTGAAGGCCATGCTTTGTAGTAAGCCAGAGGTAAACATGCATACAGTAGTTGTGACTTGTTTCATGGGATGGTTAAGGTTTAACAATTCATAGAATTTATATTCCTGTCCTTGAAGGGAAAGGTTACACTACAGCCAAAAAAGTCTATGCCTGGTTCTGGGATTGCAAATAAGCCACTAGAATATATTTTCAAATACAGCTGAAGTGATCAATTACATAAAGGGATAAAAAAAGTAAGTTCAGAATCAAAGTAATAAAAATCAATACAGTTAAACTGAGCATTAAATTTATGGTGGAGAGAAGGCTTGAACTTTG